AGAAGGAGGCAGAAGAGTGGTCTTAACAAAGGTCGATCTGCCACGCACTGCACGACAGCCAGCCATTGACATCGGGTGGGCTCTGGGTAAGGAGGACTAGATTTCACGAGCCAGCGATGCAAGATCCTTCAAAGGGCGCCGACGGGCTGCCGCAAAAAGGATTCGCAAAAAAAGGACGAGGTAAGGAAAAAGAGACAGAACCACCATGGCCGCAGAAAGGGGACAGGCTTCTTCTTTAGTTAACGCTGGCTTCCGCGCACCCCGTGTTGAAGAGAAAGAAAAGACGAGAGATTGAAGGGGTCGAGACCAAGGGGGCAGGCGGCCGAGGCTAATAGAGAGGAAGAAGACGAATAAGAGGAGCGCGAAGCGAGCGAGAAACGCGGGAGGGGGGAGGAGAGCGAAACTACTTGACGGCGAAATCCATCGCGATAACTTAATCCCAGGATTACGCTGCGGTTAGGTATCCGCGCGGAAATCCGATCGCGCGCGCCTGACGGGGTCCGTCAGGGCCGTTGTGAAGAAACGCGACTGCTCCGTTTCCGGTTTCTCGATTGATTTCACGAATCTCGGCCTCTTCGCTGGTGTGTATGCGATTAACGTGAGGATTATTATTCGGACGCAAAAAACCGGCGTATCGCAAAGTTAGATTGTTAATTAGGCATAATTAGCGTCTTTCTTTATCGATTTTTTCCCCCGTGTTAACGCTTCGTGAAAAAAATATCACTCGATGAATTATATACTTCTCTCCAGATTTTAGGAGAACTCTATTGGCTGAACTAAATAGATCCAATTTTACTTGTATTCCACCGATCGTCATCGTCGCGAAAATTAATTTATCGCGGAGAGTGCTGCATGCATGCACATCGATCACAGACGTTTCGCAATTTTGAATCGGCCTGTCACGCACGTTTCAGGCAGGTTCAAGTTAGCGATTAATTGCAAACTAAAGGAGCAAAGCTTAGAGTAACTAGTAAGTAAGTAAGTAATTGTTTGGTTGGCGTTACGTACAGTACTTACAAAGCCGTGCTTGTCGCTGATGTTGTTGGTGAGCTTGAGTTTGTGGAAGCTCACGACCTTCTGCATCCACTGCTCGCCGCTGCTGGGCGAGTCCGGATGTATGTACATCCTCTTCGGCATTTCCGGATCCGCCTTACCCGCTACCATCCACCTACTGCCTCGCAACACGCGTAAGAATGTATTAGAAAGTTACCGGGTGCCGGTTATCCGTGTGTAACATGCCTCGACGACGATGAAGATACCGAGAAACGCTCCTCATCGTTATCTAGGACAAATCGCTCGGATCGAAATGCAGACCATAAGAAAATGCCCGACTAGACTACACTTTGTTTCAACATCAATTACTATCTGATTTATTTCCCTTGTATCTCAAATGAAACGGTCTACGGGGAATATTTAATTTACATCCTCCACGCCAGAATTATCTAAAACTAGATTATAATTCGTCGGTTGAGATTTTTATTCGATATATCTGGCTAGACTCGACTGTAATTTGGAACGAGAACGTGCTAATCGCGCTTCCGATAATCAAGCGGATACCAACGGTTTCCTCGCAGGGCAACGGTAACATGCCTATGCATCTCACAACGCAGACGACGAAACCAATGATCTATAACGAGCCAAAAGAAGGCTCGAGATGACCGGTGTTCCTCGTTGGCTCGAATAGCTTCGACCCGCCGCGAGCATCAACCAGACGCGATTGTTGTCTTTTAAGGGAGGCGTGTCCACCGTTCGTACTCTTTCCCGTCGTCGCAGGTGGGTCAAACTCGAGCGCGAAGGACCGAAGGAAGAACTCGTTCGACGAGTTCCAAAGTGGCTGCGGTCGCCGACGTGATGTAATCGTTCATTGTGGTCTGCGTTTCGATCGTCCGAATGTGTCGGTGTTCCGAGATGCCTCGCGAAGAGTTTTCTCGACGTGGAGAGCGCTAATCGAGTTCCCTCTGTCGGAGGAACGAGTTCGGGATCCGGGATCTGTCTGTTGCGAAAAAGTTCCCGTGTCTCGCGCGGCCGGCCGAGAGAAGTGCGCGAAAGTACGTGAAAGAAATACACGGTTGTTCACTTTTGCAGCTAAGCAAATATTTGCGCTGGACCAAATTCGAGAGAAACTCTAAACGACAACGAGCAAACAGTCGCGAGAGTCATTCTTAAATCACGAGCCGCGATATGCCGAAATATTAATGATCATCAGCACGCGATTGCTTAACGGGATTTTTAGAGAATTATAATATTTATTTGGAATACGAGCGAAATTTTGAGAAACACAGAGGTATACGCGAGTTTCACGAAGCATCTCGGTTAACTAATGTGAAGGCTTGCGATCCCCATACAAGTCGAAATAATTTCCCATGGGACCCTCCCTTATGTGGCACTTCTGCGAGAGAATCAAACATTCATTATTTATTTTTTTTTTTTTTTTAATAAATATTGCTTCACAAAAGTACACAAATATTTACTGGTTAAACATTTGCAAGTGAATTTTCGAAGTACCGTCCGTAACCGATTTTTCGCACAAAAAATGCAAAAATTGAGCGTGGATTTGTTACGCACGGCGGGATGGATTAATCATAAATTAAGATCGCGATATAAGGTTGCACAGGATTACAAATAAATTATCTTCGACGAGTATGAGGAATTGTTCGCAGCGCACGCTCCACACTTATTTCAGGAGAGTCTCCTGGTACAGATAGTGTAATTCGCGATCGGGACCGATCCAGGATCATTATTTCAAAATATAATAATTCCAAAAATTTATTTGGAATACTTTCTGTGCCAGAAAAATATTTAATTAAACGTACCTCCCAGAAAATTTTCCAAGTATTAATGTAATATCTTTAATTCGTAATTAAAAACAATGATCCAGGATCGCTGCGATCGCGCAGGGTCAATGGTATCACCTGTTGTGAAATTTATATCGGCATTCGTCCGATGCCACGATGTCCATTAGAAGTATGTAGCTAGCCTGCTTGTCTAACCCGAACACCCTCACTTTATACGCGGGAAACATGCGTCTGCGAACAATTTTGCAATCGCAAAAAAAAGACACACACCATACATTAGTTCTACCGTTCACTGCTGACTTTTCGTTATTATTCCCCATGAAAACGGGGGACCGTGCTTAAAATCATCATCTTCGGATACGACGCTTTTGGTCGGACAACCGATTTCAACGATCTCGACGCAAATTCTATTTCACAAATCCGTTTGTACTTAATGACTTTCCACTTTCAACCATTAAAAGTAAAAGAAACAAAAATAAAATACATCAAGATCGGTATTGAAAGATCTCGTATACAACATGGTTCAGAAAACGCTTGAGATCGTTCACACGAGTTGTCCGCGACAGTTATATTTTTGTGAGCGCCCTCGCTTCCCCTACACCACGCAAAACCTCTACCTGTTGTGGAACTTGTATCTGTAGTCATCGGCGGCGACAATGTCCAGTAGAAGGATGTACTTGGCCTTGGCGTCCAGACCGGAAACTCGGAACTTCATCTGAGGAAACATCTGCCTAGACCCCCGATCAACACGTACAGTTCGATTAGATCGCTTGTTCGATTAAACGAGCTAACTTAAATTAGACTATCATGCAACTCGCAGTTATCGCACCTTATCTTAACTCGCATCGTTCTTAAACTCGTTCGATCCTTGTATAATTGACAAAAATACATTATCCCCGCGTACATGTTGCTGAAAGCAACATGTCGTTTGTTATCTCTGCGAAACACAAGGATAATGCGCGATATTTCCGATAAAAACGTTAAATTTCAGTCTAGAACGCATTTATTCAAGAATTCGCGAAAAACTCGTCTCTCGCGAGAAGCAGCTTCGGCTCGGAGGATTCTCACTCCTGAAACGAGCTGAAATGGGATGAAACGCGCGTACTCGCGCGCGAGGAACGTCGCGCGGCCGCGAGTCACGTCGGCGACACCTGGTAGAATCCTGAAAGGTCGGAATAGAAACGTGCACGAGTCAATCTCGGCCGGCTGTCAGACGGCGGACGCGCCGTTGGCTTCCGAGGCGCGCGTTCTCTGGAATAAAAACCGGACCCCGTTCCCCGGGCCAGAAACCGACGACCACGGCCGTGCTGCGCCGCGAATATCCCGGTAGCGGCCGTCAAGGTGCGTTCGGCCGAGGTGCGCGTCGAGGAATTATATTCGCCCGACACGAGAGATCTGGAAAATCGTCGTTCGGAATCACGTTTTTCGGACGCGGAGATCCGCCGTCCGTGCAGCTAGCCGGTTCCATAATGAAAGTTATGCGCGACGTGTTTTTCTCGCGCTTCGAGATTCCGCACGAGGGATTGCATCGGAGCTGCATCGTCCTGCACGTGCTAATCACGTAAAAAAATAAACGTAGTAGCTACACTGTTTTTCTATATCGTAAAATGCTCCCTCGTAAAATCGGAAAAATAAACACGTTTGAAAATACGTGCACTTTGATTAACTATAATATTGTCACTCGCACTGATGATAAAATGTATCGCACTCGTAACATTATTGCAATTCAAAAATTTGTTAATAAAAAATTAATATAATTCAACAATAATAATTGGAATATAGTAGACGTAATCAGTAAATTATATGTACATTTATATTCATCACATTTACATTATCATCACTATCATAATATATTTATATCTGACACATAATATATTTGTTATCGTAATAAAATATTTATATCTACCACGAAAATGTTCAATATACTACTAACTCCTTTGTAATATGCTTTCCAAGTTCCATCGCACTAAAATATTGCAGAATTTTATAAAGATATTTAAGAAACGCCATTATACCCTCGGACTTATGGGCACACTTCAACGTAAAGAGTTTCTTACTACGAAAAACTCAATTACCATAATTAGGCGTTATAACTCGCCAAGTTTAAGAAAATAGATTAGCAGGCCAAGACATTATGATGTAATTACGAGGCAAGACGTTTCAGTACGTCTAGACCTGTACCCAGCAATAAAGAGTCATTAATGGCAGCAAACAAAGAATATTTGCAACTTTCCCGATTTTTTATCTCTGTTCACGAAACTGTACTGTCCAGTCAGCTTTTAACAAATCGCTTTCCCAATAAGTAAGCAAAAAAAATAAATATTAACTACAGAAGTTTTTGAACAATAAATTTATAAGAAAATGTCAAGTAAAAATTATTTTATACAAGGTTCACTCAAGAGATTTATCGTGAATCAGACGAAATTAAGTTAATCAGCGATTCCAAAAAGATCTCGCAAATAAAGATCTGCTGAATGTCGATCGAGGGCGGTTACCGAGAAGGGCCGATCGTTCGTCTCGCGACGTCAAAGGTATCATGGGGATTTCTGGTAGCATCTGCCTACTGTCTGTCCGTTGAGACGTTCCCCGTCGAATTTCGGCGCGAGCGAGGACGAGACAGGATCTCGGCTCGGCGGCGCATTCGGTCGCGATAAACGAGACGCCGTTCTCATTCACGTCAAGGAGGACATTAAGCCGGATTATCCGCGCTATGTGAGCCAAAATATCCCGCGGGAGGAGACGCGCGCGCGAGAGTCCTGGCGATGAGTGCTGTCGACGCTGCATCGCTAAGCAAATGCTACAGGACGCGGATGTCCTCTGTTCGACGGCTACGTGAATATTGCGTAACGCTAATTGTAAGATATTTTATTTTCGACGCGCGAAAAATGTTTTGTTACGTCACGCGCTGCAGACTTCTTAAATGTTTAACGCGAGCATTATACGACATTTAATTAATTCACATCAAATTAATCAATGACACAAGAGTGTCATTGGTCTGTTTTCGATCGATTAAGAAATGAGCCGGAGACGTGTATAAACAGCCGTTTTGTCTCTAATACATATTCAATATACCTACGAAATTAATTGCCGCAAGGACATACATAAAGCCAAAAAAAATGCGACATTCTCACGGAATCTGGACGCAGATCTCCAAAACACTGTGTCCGCGATGCGAAGTGTGGCGCTATATTATTTGATGATCACAGGCAAGACGTTTAAAAAAAAAACCGGACGCGTACGTTATCACTCTGAAATCACACCGCGCAGGGTTAAGATTTATCCGGTTGTCTTATGTATCATAGACGCGGCGCGACCTTCTCCTCCGTCGTACACAACTCTCAGCTGGTAGAAGCTAATGAGCGACAATACGAATAAACAAATTATGAACCGGCCGTTTTTGCCACAAGGTTGTTGAAAGCTGTAAATCGTCCGATAAAGGCGCCTTTGAGAGATCCCGCTCTCGTCTCCGTCGCCGGCTCTTTCTTTCCTTAGGCCGCCACACTTGACGACGTATCGCCGCACGAAACGATTCGATAAGACGCTTGCCACCGATCGAAAGCAGCTGTCCGTTCGTCCAAGTGACTACCACGTTTCCCAGACCCAACTTTGGGGACACACTGTCAATCGAGACAATCGCTCGTTAATCTTGTAATAGATCAAAGGTCAAAGCAACCCAAAGTATGTTCATTTATACAGCTTTATCTATATGTAATCTTTTTTCAAAATAATGGTGGTTTCCCCTTTATCCATGTTTTATTTACCTATGACCTATGTAGATACGAAAGTGAAATCAATTTTGCGAAGACACAATATGCGTGTTTCATTTATATTTGTACCGTTGTTTTAAACTGCTTTAAACTAACGAGTGATGAAAAATGAATGTTAAGGTTAATGACTTTTTCACAGCGTTATTTATTTTGAAAACTCAACCGGGGACATAGTTTCCTCTAGAAGAAAGGGCGTGACATTCCTCAGAAAGCCGAGGAGGCGCCGCTCGGCTTTAATGGCTATCCTCCTCCCAGATTACGGGAAAGGGGCTTTCGAAGTCTACGGATCAGGGCCTTACGGCAGCGGCCGTGTCATCAGAAGTATTTATCGGCGATCCCTATCCTCATTACAGTTTATGTTGATGTCGGGAAGAACGAGAAATTAGGTGTCAGGATCGAGCCGCGTTGCTGTTGTCGACGCCGCGTCAATGTCTATGCCGGCAATAATACTAAAAATTAGATCGTAAAAAAAGCGATCGCGCGCACGATAAATCGTATTCGAGAAAATTAAACGGGACCACGGGATACGGTCCGGCCGACGCGATGGCATTCTTTTCTATGATTTCTACTTCGAGATCGCCGAGTATGATAATAAAAATTGTGTAATCTTTCGGTGTCGATTAAATTCATTTACGTAAATTTCCCAAAGAGCAGTTTTAAATTACACGTAATCCTATTATTCTTAAGCTTAATTCTCCGCGAGAAGAAATGAAAATAATACGATGCAATAATCCCGACATCGAAGTCGTGGTAAAAAGTTAAGATAATAATCGCGAAACGAGGAGTCAACGGTGTTCACTTTCTCACTTATATATGCACGGTGCATATGCTACGCCTATGCCCCGCGATTATTGCTATTAAATATGTAGCGTGTGCGACGACACAATTACATCGGGAAAACGATAACGGCAGCCGTGACGATATCGCGTTATGATTGATTCGCGGAGGTATCGCGCGATGAAACGGAATAGAATACAAAATAAAGCGGCAACGTAAAACGGGTAACTTTGTCGAGGCACCTGCTCCGTCCGACATTCGATCATCCGCCGTTTCCTTCCTCGTTTGTAATTCTTCGTCCCACTACAATGTGCAAAGGGCTTTACACATAGCAATCTCCATCTTTTTCTCTCTCTCTCTCTCTCTCCCTCTCGAGCGTCCCGCGTCACTTTATATTCCCATATGGCATATGGTATACTCCCATTTTCGAGACTCTCGATCGATCCACTGCGCGAACCTGTATCGCGGATGCCATCGCTAATAAGTTGGGAGATGCTAATCTTTTTAATCGATATATATATAATTTATGCTCTTCTCTCTGCTCACGATGATCGCGATGATCGCGATGATCACGATGATCGCAATTAACGATCGATCGGATGGACCCATTCTTTTTATAACAGCGTATAATCCTGTCAGATTAATTGTAACTTTAACTCTCTGTGCCTCATAATATAACTATAATTAGCATATGCAAATACGTTTAATTAATTGCACGCTATATAAATATTAATTATACATGTAGGTATTAATTATATATGCACAGAAACACGTGACACCGAACTCAGTATTTTTATCGTCTTCATTTCGATCATTTCAACTTAACATCACCGAAACTATTTCTCCTCCCTTTCTTCCTCTCTCTCCCTCCCCCTCTCTCGCTATATCTATTTATCTCTCCCCCCCTCTCTCTCTCTCTCTCTCTCTCTCTCTCGCCGCGTTTTGCCTCGTACACACGGAAGTGGGCTGCCAGTTTCGAGTTTAACCACAGGGATGCACTTCCGGGACACCCAGTACATCCATCCCCGGTACTGCGCTTTCCGCGGTGTATGGCAGGTGGAAGAGAGATCGCTTCCACGAAACCTCAGGAGCCCGCGGTGATGTGCAAGAGCACGACGACGACGCGAGGAGACGACGACGAGCGGAGCGCGTGTATGCATTCTCTTCCCGCCGACACAGCGTGCACA